CCTGTTTGATGCTATATCAGGTAGAACGCAACTAGTGGAATCAAGAGATGATATTGATAAAAAGTTCTTAGCAAACAATTCAGCTTTGCCTTTAGGTGAGGTGACAAAGTCTGAACCATACAAAAGAGGTGGAATTACAGACTTGCCTTATTATTGATACTATTAAAGATTTTCCAGAAGTCACAAGAGCCTAATTTTTGTGATGAAAAACGAGATTTCATGATCTGAGAATAGCCGGCTTTGGCGTTAACCTTTTTACAATGGTTCCTAGCAGTAATAAACAGACGTTTGTTTTCTGGAGAATTGTTTTGCTGATAGATATAGAAGTAATGGTTTCGATTGGCAATTGCAGCAGCACAATATAAGTAAAACCATGAAGAAGAGCGAGACTTGACCTGGAATCACCGAGAGGGAATAAAGGATTCCATGCCAGCCTGAATCTACGAAGTTATGTAAGAAGCACATTTATCAACAGGAAGACGAAAGATTTCTACCAAAGGGCCATCAAGAAGAAAATCACAGAAAGAGTCCTAGTCAGCTTTAAGGGTAGTTGTAAGATGTACGATGATAGGGGGATTGAGTTAGAATTTGAGAAAGGCAAAAGTTGTGAGCTTTAATGTCTGCAGAGTCACTGACACTAGAGCCAAGCCATTCAGTGTGATGAACATTTAAGTCACCGACAACAACAATAATGGCTGATGGATAAAGAGAGAGGGCTTGGTCAATATGATCAGAAATAACATCAAGAAGAGTGCAGTCTTGAGATGAAGGAGAGCAATATAGAACACAGGGAAAGGTGATAGAATGAAGTGGCGCTAAACGAAAGCACATAAAAGAGTAGTCTGTGGATTCAAACTTTGTTTCCCAACAAATTGGTGAATTCTTACAAATATAAATGGCCAGGCTAAGCATGTGACTATTAGGATCTTTACGAATTAAAGGAAGATACCATCAACACCAAGATCACAAGATGAGACAGCTGAACTCAAACTAGTCTTACAAAGAGCGTGTAGGTCTGGTGAACTTTGCAAGCGATAAGACTCAACAGAAGAAAAGTTACTTCGAAGACCACGCATATCAGTGAATGATAGGTTTAACGAATTTGGTGATGACTGTAGTTTTTTGTGTTTTATAGTTTTTGTTACTTTATTCATTTTGAAATTTGTTAAATAACTTGACTCGAAACATAGATATTACTCAGTACACTGTTTTATAGCCCAAGCAATTGCTTTATTACTATTAATAAACCCTAAGCCATAACAAAGGGCTTCAATGTGGCCTTGGCAATGCACACTAAAAGTACAAACAGGGACACCATCCATGCGCGACATGGCACTATTAGTATTTTGATATTTTTTAGCTATTGATGGAATCAGCCTCTCTGAGAACTACCACAAAGTTCGGAAAACCTGAATACCAGCCGGCCTCAGAACCATAAAACTAAGTTTTAGAGCTGTACCCTTATTATGAGATAATAGAATGAGTTGCCTTGTCATAAAAACACAAGAGACACAAGCAAAACCCATGCATCGTGTCAAGAAGATCCATCATTCAACATTCTAAATTGGAAACAATCTATTAAAAATACATCTGCACCAGCCTAATAGATAAAGGAGGGGTGTGAGGCTGGTCAACAGATAGAATCTGTTTACCCCTTCTTGTAGAAGGCCTCCTAGTCTTTGCCTAACAGGCCTTCTACAAGGCAGCAGCCGGATGCATTTAACATCTGCCCAAGATAAGTATTTTTATCGAGACACCATCTCTAGCTTTTACTCAACCAAGAGCCCCAAGGCAGGGGGTGTTTTATGACGGAGTTGGCATCTCTTATCCTACAAGGCAGCAGAACATGAAGCAGATTGTACTGGGTTACATGTTACCAGTAGCAGGATAAACCTGACCTGACATCAGTGGACAAATGATGCACGGTTACCGTAAACACCACATTAGAACACGCGCAGATTTTTTCTGATACATGTCTTAGCTTTGAACACTATATATATATATATATATATATATATATATATATATATATATATATATATATATATATATATATATATATATATATATATATATATATATATATATATATATATATATATATATATATATATATATACATATATATATATATATATATATATATATATATATATATATATATATATATATATATATATATATATATATATATATATATATATATATATATATATATATATATATATATATATATATATATAAGCACTTCACATAATTTAAATCACACACAAAATTAAATATAATTTTAATAGTCATATGTAAAGACTGTTTTAAAATATATAAAACTCTTGTATAATTTAAACTGTTACACACATAAAATAACACATAAAAAGACATTAAAATAACACATAAAAAGACATTGTATTACTGCAGTTCTCAGACACATAAAACATTACTTAATTTCAATTATCACAAAGGATTACTGTAAAAAGCAACATTTTGTTTATTTTTTAAGCACCAAATGCTTTGTTACTTTTTTTTTAGTAATGCATAATGTAAAGTATCCTCTAAAATTATTAAAAACAAAATATGAATGAAATGTTATTTTTCCGCTTCAACAAACTTGTTTCCTACAAAGGTGAGAGTGATGAAGTAAAAAAGTGTTAAAAAAAAAAAAAAGGTTTAAAGTTTGTAAAAAATTTGAAAGGAGCAGTTAGAGTAAAAAGATGGTACTTGGCTAAATGACAAGTCATGCAATATCTGGCTTTAACTGATGAAACAAATAATATTGAGCACCTATAATGATAGTAATGATAATAAAAGGAAAACAGATGTAACCTGTGAATCCATATATGGATTCCATGAGCAGTCAGTAGTGCAAGATAATCCGAATATTAGTAAAGAACTCAGTGTTTCCATTCATTAATATAAAAATAAAAAACACAACCTTGCAAGCAAGTGGAAATCCAGAAATTAAAAAAACATTTGTTCTTAAGAAAGTTGGTTTGATGAAAAAGATGAAAGTAATATGGTTAGAAATAGCAGCTTAAAAAAAAGTAGGAAATTATAGTAACCATAGAGTCACTACTTTTTACATACTTTTTTTACAGCTGCTAGTAGGGTAAAAAAAGAAAAAAAAAGCCAAGAAATAATGTAGAAGGTTTATTTTTAGTAGAGAAACAAAACATTGGTACCATTTAGTTTTGCCATACAAATAATTTAGCTCAAATATAGGGTACTAAAACTTTCCCAAAGTTTGTTGAATTTACTGGATTAGAAGGGAAGGGGGGGAGAGAGAGATTTTAAAAATGAGTTTAAACAACTTGTGACACCCTTTAAACACCATTTTAATTTTGGAAAAAGCAGATTAAAGCATTAAATTCTAAGCATTATTATTTTAAACTTTACTGTAATTCACTTCATTTATAAAAAAAAGCATGGGAGAAAAAATGTTTATTTATCAGAAATACTCAGTTGATCATATGATTTCAAAAAAAAAAATCTAAAACTTAAGAACTCAGTGTATTGAAATTATGTATTGTTTTAAAGTATCTGCATTGCCTTGAAATCAGAAAAGAGTTTTCTATTTAATCTTTATCTTACTGTTTGCTGCATCAGTTTTGAGTTTGACCTAACAAAATCCCTAAAGCTCGTCATCAATTGTATTGTATACATGTCAGGAAAAGCTGAGTTGAAATAGTGAGAAGAAATCAGCTCAAGCAATTCAGTTTTTTTTCTAAAAAAACTTGTAATACAGGTTTCTTCAGTTTGTAAAATTTAGGTTTATTTTGATTATTATAATCAGCTCAAGCAATTTCAATTTTTTTTTCTAAAAAAACTTGTAATACAGGTTTCTTCAGTTTGTAAAATTTAGGTTTATTTTGTTTGTGAGACAAAAAAAGGCTAGCCATTATAGACATAGCATCATTGTTAAGCTTTACTTGGCTATTTTTATATATAATTACAAAAGGCAAAACACAATCATTTCTGGTGTTAAATACTGTGTCTTCTTAGAGCAGTCAATGCAGCTTTAGCAAAAAGAAAGTACACTAGCTAAAAGCTTCTTAAACAAGTTCTAGATTAGTTTTAAAATATCTATAGTCTGATAATCCAACAGCAACTGTCTGCAAAATGCAAAATCATTTAGAATATTAAATTGAAAAACACAAAACCTAGCCTTGAATACTTAAACACTATGAAAACTTACAAGGAGTAACAGTGTGGTGTGAGATACCTACATTGGGCTTCACATAATCATTTTTTTTAAATGGAAATGCCACTGCTGAGAGCTACCTCAACTTAATTTAGAAGATTTTCAGTTTGCTACAAACTTCAGAGATGTTTGGTGCTGACAAAGAGAATTACTTTTAACAAAGTGGAGCACCTCATCACTACCATCCTAATACAGTAGCAATACAGCTTTTCCAAACATATAGGCTGGAAAATGCCTAATTACCAGCATTCCCTGCATTCCCCAGACCAAATGCCTCTAGACATTTCTTATGGATATATCTGGAAAAAAAAGTTTATCGCTAAAAACAATTGATGCATTGAAATTGGAAATTAAAAAGAAATGTTGTTATTTTCCTAATAATCTGTTTCATGATGTTTACAAAACATTTGGTACATGTTTCAATGTTGCCTGGACAATTTTCAAATATGATTCGTAAATTTCATTTATCTTCTGTGTTCAATGCTATTCCTTTTCATTAGTAATTCCATTAGTAATTCCATTCACAAGTAATTTTTTTTACTCGTTCAAAGTATGAATACATTTCTTTTAAAACACACACACACACATATACACAATAACATTTAGCATTTTTGAATCACAATATAATATTTAAATGATAGTTTCCTAATATTTTAATAAATATTACTATATGATAAACTAAATGAATAAACATGTATGTAAAAACAAATCAATATTGATACATCCTTAAAAATATTCCATTAATTGTTTAATGATCAACAAAATGAATTATAAAGAATGCAATTTGAATTAAAAACAAAACAAATTTTTGTAGACAGTTACTTTAATAGAATTTTTTTTATAAATTCATTATAAATTCAAAGAAAGTATTTCCAGGATTTAAATTGATTTATTTTTCAAATATTCTTGCTGTATGGTCATCACCTCCTGTTATTATTAAAGTTTCTTGTTTGTTTATAGCAAAGTCTAATATACTACAATAACTTCCATTTAGCTCCTTAATAAGTCCACCACTTTTTCCTTCATATTGTTTTATTTCGCCACCTAAAGTGGATGCAATTATAACGTCAGAGCTATCCCAAAAAATTTTACTTAACCCACTTGGATGAGCGCATTCATACCTCAATCTTTGGGTGGATATATCCCAAACTTCTAAACTGCCTCCTAATATAGCACATGCTATATATTCATCAGAAGGAGAAAATGCAATGCTTTCAACTGCTTTAGTTTCATCATTTGGCCAAAATGTTTTTAAAGTACAAACTAGTTTACGAGACTCAGCACTAAATAACTTTGTTTTCCCATTAGATAAACCACACGCTAACAATTTGCCACTCTTTTGAGAAGCCACACTGAGAACAGAACATTCATCGTCATGATAAGAGAATATTGCAGTAGCAGATTTTAAATCCCATAGCTTTAAAGTTCCATCTCCATAACCAACCAGTAATTCTTTACCATTATCTAATAACTTGCTTGTTGTTGCTTTTAAACTATTACCTTGATAGATTTTGCAATCACCACCAGGAATTTTCCACATATATATCTCACCAGATTCTGCACCTGCTAACAGAACATGAATTGAAGTGTGCCACTTGCACCACTCAAGATCAGAGCAACTAAACTCCCATACCTGTTTACCATCTTGGGTATTCCAAACAATAATTCCTCCACTCATATCAGCAGTCATAAAGTATTTGTCGTCTGAGCTAAAGCCACAGCTAATAACTGAATCCTTATGTCCAATGCAATTATAAACTATTTCTCCGTCATGAACACTCCAAACAAAAGCTTTATCATCTTCACCTCCACTAATAGCAAAATTACCATTATTAGAAAAGCCTACACAGAAAACTGAACCTTCGTGCTTTGAAAAAACTATTTTTGCATCATCCTTCACATAATCACTCTCAATATAAGAATCATCTTCAACATCTAGGTCATCCATGGCTTCTTCAAAACCTGAAATGTAAATAAATATGGTGAAAAATTATATAATAAATAAAAATTATAAATTTTTATGTATCACAATATTTCATCAGTATAAACATTTGTATTTTATATTAAAATTAGTACTTTATTTGCTACAGAAAGTGGCCATAAATAAGAGTTTCAGTGACTGTATAAATGTGTGTGTGTCTGTTTGTGTGTGTAAGTGTATACACACACACACACACACACACACACACACACACACACACACACACACATATATACATATAAATATATATATATACATATATACATATAAATATATATACATATTTACATATAAATATATATATATATATATATATATATATATATATATATATATATATATATATATATATATATATATACATATATATACACATATACATATATATATATATACATATATATATATATATATATATATATATATATATATATATATATATATATATATATATATATATATATATATATACATATATATATATATATATATATATATATATATATATATATATATATATATATATATATATATATATATATATATATATATTTATTTATTTTTTCTAATTTAGAATTTAAACTAAAGAACTTAAGTCTTCTAAAATTTTCTAATTTAAATAATTTTGCAATTGAAATTCAAAATTTTAAAAAGAAAATTAAAACAGAAAATTTAAAAAAAAAAACATTTTGAAGATTTTTAAGGCTCAATAATTATAAATTTAATTGCAGCATTGTCTGTAATACCCAGTGGCATAGCCAGGAGCATTCCTGAAAGTTATACGTAGATCTAGCGACAGTAACAATATCAGATTTAAAATATAGTGCAAGCGAGGAAAAAAAGTTTTATTTAAATTGCAAACATTTTGAATAGCTAATTATTTTTTGTTTTTTGAAAATAGTTTCAAAAGTCAAAACTTTCTATTGCAAATATTAAACCAAAAATTAATTTAAAAAAAAAATTTTTTTACTTCTGTTTGAAGAAAGTTTTTCCAAAAAAATAATTTAAGCATATACTTAAAGAAATATAATTCGATTTATTAAAGTTTTTTTCTCTCACTTTTTATTATAAAACAATTTGAATGAAAAAATTGAATGAAAAAAACAACTTAAAAGCTATTTGAATCAAGATATTTATACCTAAATTTTTAATAACTAGATCAAGAGGCAATAAATTAGAAAAAACGTGTTATTTAATATTTTTTTGCTTTGATCTTACTCGTTTGGTCTATAGATAGCATGTTTTTGTGCAAATATGATATTTAAAGTTTTATAAGGATAATATTTTAATTTATTAATTAAAACAATTCAATTAAAACAGTGTCATGAAGTTGTTTTAGATTAACACAACTTGTGTATATCTAAAACAAAATAAAGAGCTTGCGTCACAAGCTTTTATATCGATGGTTAAGACCACAAAGGGAATACGTCCACTAACCATTGTTTTGAGAAATCTGAATTTGAAAGTTTGACAACATACAATAATTCATGATATTTATTAATTGTCATGATTTTTAACCAAATGCATTCCTCAATTAATTCTGTCTTTTTTTTTACTATTTTATTTTCATTTCTTTTACATACTTTAATACCTAATTTGTTTAATGTTTACCTAACGTTTAATAATGGACATATTCCCTTTGTGCTCTTAACCATCAATATATAACATTGCCAAAACAACTTTTCAGTATTGTATTACTGCTGTTTTACAATGACAATTCAATACCCTTTAAAAATAACATATGTTTTATCCCCAGCATGAATGTATTAAATAGTTTTCTATAACTAATTAAAATAATTTAAATATTGTAATATTTGCATTTTTACTTTTACCTTTTTACTTTAACTTTTTTAAGTATCACGTTAAGTAAAAACAATTTCTAAAAGAAATATCGTAATAGTATTAAATATGTTACTTATCAAATTATAACTTGCTCATTACACTATAACTGCAACGTAATTTTTAGATTATAACTAAGCTGTAAACTGTAACAATAACTTATGCTATTTTAAACTCTGCCAAATAAGAATATTATAAGATGACATTTAAATATAAGAGATATTAATTATAAACTAAAGTACAAAATACTATTTTATACTGACACAACCCCATATATATATATATATATATATATATATATATATATATATATATATATATATATATATATATATATATATATATATATATATATATATATATATATATGGGCAATTCCACAGCGCAAAATGAAAAAGTAGTCAAATTTTATTATATTTTTCGTCAACTTTTAGCGAACGAATATTGATGTAGACAATAAAAGTTTATTTAAAATGTACCTTTAGCACTAAAATTAATTTATTTAAGTCATTTTTATGCTTCTGAAAGTTACTGTTTTTTTCATTGTCGTATGATAAAAAAGATATCATTGTAAAATGTTATTCTAACCATGAATTTATTTGCAAAATTAAATTAGCGTGAAAACTAACATGTTCAAATTGTTGTTGGTCAGATTTTATACTTAATAAAATATACATATTCTAAGAAAATAACGAATGAACTTTTGCAATTTTCATGTAACGCAAGTTAACAAAAACATGATAAAATTTTGTTTGTTATAAAATTTAGTTAAGTTTTTTAATAATATATGCGAAAGAATATTAAATGTAACATTTTTGCATTTAAAGTTTTGAATAACAATGCTTAGTTAGAGCACAATTTTATTTTAAATTTGTGTAACATAAGTTAAAACTACAAACATTTTTTTAAGTTCTGGCACTTTTTGGTTAACAAAATGAATTATGTCATTTAGTAATTACTATTTTGTTGACAAGGTTTTAACTGGAACTTTTTATAATAGGAGGATTTAGAAAAAAATCTTTTTTTTTAATGTTAAAATTATTTATATTATTGCTTTTTTATTTGTTTATGTATTCTTACTTTATTTGACATAAATACACATAAATAAATAAAAATAAGAATTATGTAAATATTTGTATTTAGACATTTAAAAAACAGATTTATTTTCTATTTTCCTAAATTAAAATAAAAAACCAGTTAGAGTTTTTTTTGTTTTTGATTTAGTAAAACAAATCTTTTGTAAATGCTATTATAAGTAATCTTTAAAGCATGTCACCCTACATTTATCAATTTATAACCCCTTCCCTCCTGTCATAAACGATCACATATACCTGAATCCCTCTCCCTTCTAAACTATGATAAGCAGTTTTTCTTCAAAAATATTTCAAAAGATTTAAATGCAAATATTTTGCAGCATTTAAAAAACTCCATGTAGTGATGAAAACAAGGCAATACGCATAAATGTAAGGAGTGTAAATAAAAACTTCGACAAACCAAAGATTTTTTTTTTAAACGACTCAAATTAGTATTAAAAAGTTGCAATACTAAATAATTTTTCAAAGTTGCTCTTGGTCTTGCGAAAAAACTGTTTTCGATTTGATAACTTTTATAAATGTTATGAAAAATCACTTAGGAAGAGTGCCACCAGTTTTTTAAAATTTCCTTTGTTGATTATTTTTAATGAATAAGTTCAATATCTTTGCAATTGTTTAGTTGCTTAACTCTAACTCAAAATAATAGAAGTAAAAAATAGTATCAAAAAAACTAGTTTATTTTCCTTACCTGGTCACCTATGATATAATTTTATATATTTTTTAAATTGGCATAAAATTCTTAACATCTTGTGAAAGTTTCTAATATAAACCGCTTTACTGATTCACAGAAATCTGACCTAAAAGTTGAAGCAATTTTTTTACCTAGTTTTCCGTGTAACGTAAGTTAAGTGGCATTTTTAGTAACAAGTTCACCCTTATTCAGCCAGACTCAATTTTTTTTAGCTTATTTTATTCTTCAGACTAACAGCTTTTATACAAAATAGCTAAAAGTTTAATTTACTGTTTAAATAGGCAAATATTTGATAAAGTTGTTGCGCGTTTAATGTAAGTTAAAAATGGAATTGCCCATTGAAATATATGAACTTTTAATTAAAATGGTATTCCCCCTCCCCCTCCCCCGCTCCTCAAAAAAAAAAAAAAAAGTATAATTTACATTTTAAATTGGCTGAAATTTAGTTATTACGCAGTGCTGCATTTTTATTTAAATTCATAGTAAGGTTTACAAATATATAAATTCAGTATTAGATTAAAATACTTAATTTATGTATATTCAACACTAAAAATATTTTAGATAGAATTTAATACTAATAATATTTTAGAATATGCTCATATGTTATAACTACAATTTTACTTATCAAAAACAATTTATTTTAAATATTTAACAAGGTTTTTTAGCTCTTTTGTACTGAAATGGGTTGTTAACCATGTAGTAATAAATCAATAAAGAGTTTATTAAGCAAAACCATTAATTAAAACTACTTGATTTTATGTTTTTAAGGATAACTTTATGTTCGGCTTCAAAACTGACAGTAATAAATTAACTTTAAAAACTCTATACTAAAAATAGTTTTTTGGGGGTGTTGATTTTTGTTTGTGTTTTTTTCTGCATAATTCACATAATATTTATGTCCGCCATCATTGATATTTTAATTTTTTTTTAAAGATATATGTCTATCCATTCATCTCTCAAAAAATATATAGTGTTGAGGTGCAAATATACTACAAAACTCTTTTTGTAGTATAGTGCTTCCTATACTACAAAACTCTTTTTTTTGGTATTATATTTAGTTAGATTTTTAGTAAATTTCTAAAAAATGTGGTCCTGGCTAATTTGTTGATAATTTTTAATATCTTAAAGAATTTTAAGTGTTTGAGCACTCTATTTGTATCTATTTTTACGCTTACAAAAAACAATTTGCGTCAAAATAAAAAATCTAAAAATTTAGCAATAATGAAAATTTAAGTTATGGAATCTTTACAACTATTAATGTTTTTGAACGAACATGAATGATTTTTATTTTTTTATTTTTTACCCAATTAATGTTCCCAAGGTTGAGTGGGTCACATTTGTCGAGGAAACTACTTCT